TTTTATTCAATTATTTCAAAAAAACGAAATCTTTCAAATAAAGTGAGTCTCTCAAAATTTATATATTTATAAAGACAAAAAAATAAGATAAAAGCAATAATAAACTAAGATCAAAAACGATAAGACACCCAAAGGTGAAATTTAATTCAATTTTGACCAGAGGTGCCTTATCGTTTTTGATCCAAGTGTAAATAGATAACCAGGGAGCTCTCGTAGTGTAATGGATAGCATACAAGACCACGAATCTTATGGTGTGGGTTCGATTCCCATCGGGAGTATTTTTTGAGTTTTATTTTTCATTTTTCATTTTTCAATCTTAAATTCCCCTCATGCGATTTCAAGCTGACTGTTTGGCTATGATCAGGTTTACTTAATTCAAATTTTTGAGTTATGATTTTTTTTCAATTGAAAACCATAATGTTTTCGATAACTTATCAATTTAAACTGCATAAATATATAATTTATATATAAATTAAAAAAGATTCTGGAAATTGAAAATGGCTCTGAAAATTTGCATATCTGCTTATTCACTTTTCTTATTTTCATATGTAATTTTTAAGGGAATGATTCAATCAAATCTATTGTTTTGATTTGATGAAATCTTAAATTTTTGTAAATGTTTCACCATTAAAAAATAAATATATACAAAACTTATTTCACATTTTATAAAAAGAATTATATATATATATACATAAAAATGAAAAGATAAATAAGAAGCCCTCGTAGTGTAATGGATATCATACAAGACTTCTAATCTTATGATATGGGTTCGATTCCCATCGGGGGTATTTTTTGCTTTTTTTTTTTTTTTTTGAAAAATCATTTCAATTCATTTGAATCAAATGCTCTCACTTAAATCATTAATTGTTAATTTAAATGTATTTGTGCAATATAATCATAATAGATCGAAAAGGCTTAAAATAATAAATGAAATCTTCAAAATAAATTGAGAATATAAAGTTGGATATAAAGCAATAATAACAAATATATATCAAAACAAAAAAATTGATAAAGTAAAAAATATAAATAATAAATAAATAAATAATCAGATAGCTCTCGTAGTGTAATGGATAGCATACAAGACCACGAATCTTATGGTGTGGGTTCGATTCCCATCGGGAGTATTTTTTGAGTTTTTATTTTTTAATCTATAGTGGTCGGAATAATATGTATACCTTTGAAAAATATGTATACGCCTGATTTTCAATTGTTATATGGCTGTTAATTCAAAAATTTGAATATAATTTAATTTGAAAAATTCATAAATATCTCATTTAATTTTTGACAAAAATCTTTTTATAATTAAAAATTATATTAAATTAGGAAATAAGATATAATTTCAAAGTATAAAATAAATAGTAATTAATTTCTGAAAGAGAAACATAACGTATACATATAATTCAATATGTATACATATTTTTCTCACCTCTATATCAATCTTTAATTCCAAGTCTTTTATTCACCAACAATTGATTTTCTTAATTTGATGAGATCTTTAATGATTTTTAATGATAATTCATGCATTAAAGCATGGAATGTATCATTATATGAACTCGAAATATTAAAAAGAAAAATTATTTTCATATGAAATATTGTAAAAATGATTCATGTCAACAAATTTTATTTTGATTTGATGAAATCTTAAATGCATCATAAATAAATAACATATAAAATAATCAATATATGATATTATAAAAGATTTGTGATCATTTAAATTTAGATTATGAAATGAACACATTATTTTATTCAAAACATTAATTTCAATTTTATGAAAAGAAGAAGAAATATGTAAAAATGAAAAGATAAATAAGAAGCCCTCGTAGTGTAATGGATAGCATACAAGACTTCTTTCAATCTTTATTTTTATGTTATAAATAAATAATAAACACATGCATATCCATGTGATTTATCTAAAAACTGAGGATTTTCGTTAATGATATATCTTTAAATACAAATGATGAATCACATTTATGTATTTGTAAAAAAAAAAAACTCAAATCATTAATATAATCATTTTCGTTGGATTCAGACGAACTAGAAATATAAAGGCAGGGATTTTGTTATTAATTCGATCATCAGATAACAGTTGTATTCAAGCTTTTTATGCAATGGGTTATCTGCTGCATGAGCGCAAATACATGTCTGGAGATATCAACGCTGCGATCGATTATACAAAGAAGGATCGTCATTCAACAGCCAATATTCAAAGAACAATTTGGTCATTATTTACAAGAATGCACTTTCCGTTATCCATTTGGATTTCCCAGTAATCATAACGCGCATTTCCTTTGTTAAAGTGGATTTTCCCGTCATAATCCAGAAAAGACTGTATAAATTCAACCATTTATTTCTAAAATGTGAAACCTTTTGGCCCATTAATAAAAAATATTCATAATCCAAGAGCCGAAAACATAAAATGCACAATATATTGATCACTATGATCTTGAGATATGATGTTTAATTCAATAAAAGAACCCATTTCATGATTTTTTTTCATTGAAATATAAAGTTTGTCTCAAAATTGGAAAATGAAATGAAATATTTTATTTTTTACGATATGATAGGTCATTTTTATAAAAAGTCGCTGACGAAAAAAATCAACAATATTAGTATTCAATTCAGCATTTGAAATAAGATTAGAAAATGCTGGTGTCAAATTTTATCCAATATTAGTACATGCTTTCATCTCCTATTTCGTGGTTCGATTCCCCGGGTCGGTACTTTTTTGTTTCTTTTTTCTTTGTTTTTCAATTTTTTTTTTTTTTTTCTTAATTTTCCACTTTCTTGATTATCAATTCAAAAAAAGTTGACATCATTATTATTCTTTAATATCGTCAAAATTCTTCATTATCATGGGTAACAGTTTATCAAATACACGAAAGAAAGAAATTGAATCATTCAAGTATAGTTCAAATGTGATTCAGAACTTTTTTGGACCTCTTGATCAAAGAAATGTTCTTTTTTATAAAACGCTAATCAATAATGTTGATAAAATATTAAGTTCGAAAATACTTATTCCAAATGAAATCGATTCTCAATTTGGTCATGTCATTTCTCTCTCTCAAAAAATAAAATGTTCAAATGACAAAGACAATAAATACGTTTACTTGGTTGTTCAAGTTGTTTCACCAAAAACTTATTTATTCAATTCAGAAAGATTTCAAAATAACGAAATTGATTTCAATTACTTGAAACAAGAAGGATTTTCTGCTATCATGAATCATTCAAGCAATTATGATTATCATTCTCATAAAATTTATGTAATTGATCAAAAAATCATCAAAAATATAAATTTCGCATGTGGAATGAGACCACATACATATGCCCATTTAAATGAACAATTACCAAGAAATAGCGATAGTATGATTTTATTTTATGGAACTTCATTTGATGAATCGAAAAATATTATTGAAAAGAAACAAATGAAAGAAGAAGAAGGACCATTTGGATCATCATATTATATGTTTGAAACAATCAATGATGCTTTGATATTTAAACCAGGAAGTCAAGTTTTCATTATGAATGAAATCAAAAATCAAAATATTTATAAATTAAGAAATCAAAAGAATATCAATTCAAAAGAAATTCCATCCAAATTTCAATTACTCATTGGGAATAATGGCTTAATGAAATATTACATCATTAAAGATCTTACAATTATTGAACGAATTCAAATATGTTCAATTTAAATAATAATTAAAAACATTGATTTTTTCATATTCAAAAGTAGGCTTGTTAAATCTCGATTTTCGATATCGATAATTGATCCATTTTTCTGATATCAATATCAAATCAAAAATTTTCTCTCTGATATCAATAATGAATAAAAATAAAAGATCGATTATCAATATTGAAATTTTTTTAACAAAAAGAATTTTTGTAAACTTTTTATCATGATTACTTCACATATCTGTTTATAAAATTTAATAAAAGCTGATTCTTTTACTTATAAAATTAGAATATATTTATTTTATGCCATTAAAATACCATTTTTATTGTTTTTTTCAGGTATTAATTTCGATTAATCAAGATTCGATATCAAAAGAATATTTTTTTTGTATCACATTTCATACTTGATAATCAAATTCATCAATTAAAATTTCCAATCGATAGCATTTTATTATCGATTATCTGATAAAAAAAGTGCCAAACCTGATAATTGATATCAGAATAACAAGCCGATTCAAAAGTTATTTTTTAATATATTTTTTGATAACATTTGATTATAGCATCTTGTTAAGTCCAAATTCCACTTTTTTTCTGTTAAAAGGCCAAGAAAAAAATGGAATTTGGACTTAACAAGATGCTATACATTTGATGCAATTTTTTGTACTGATTTGTGATTCATTTTTAATTAAATTTGTAGGTCAAATATCAAATAATTACATGATATTGATTAAAATTCATGAAATATTCAAAAAGAATTCGACAGCAATTTTTAGAAATAACAATAATTATTTTAATAATAAAAATATGATAAAAAAAAAAAAAGCAAAAAATACCCCCGATGGGAATCGAACCCATATCATAAGATTCGAAGTCTTGTATGATATCCATTACACTACGAGGGCTTCTTATTTATCTTTTCATATTTACATATTTCTTCTTCTTCTTTTTATAAAATGTGAAATAAGTTTTGTATATATTTATTTTTTAATGGTGAAACATTTACAAAAATTTAAGATTTCATCAAATCAAAACAATAGATTTGATTGAATCATTCCCTTAAAAATTACATATGAAAATAAGAAAAGTGAATAAGCAGATATGCAAATTTTCAGAGCCATTTTCAATTTCCAGAATCTTTTTCAATTTATATATAAATTATATATTTATGCAGTTTAAATTGATAAGTTATCGAAAACATTATGGTTTTCAATTGAAAAAAAAATCATAACTCAAAAATTTGAATTAAGTAAACCTGATCATAGCCAAACAGTCAGCTTGAAATCGCATGAGGGGAATTTAAGATTGAAAAATGAAAAATAAAGCTTAAAAAATACTCCCGATGGGAATCGAACCCACACCATAAGATTCGTGGTCTTGTATGCTATCCATTACACTACGAGAGCTATCTGATTATTTGTTTATTATTTATTTATTATTTATATTTTTTACTTTATCAATTTTTTGATTTGATATATATTTGTTATTATTGCTTTATATACTGTTTTATATTCTCAATTTATCTGAATGATTTCATTTATTATTTTAAGCATTTAGAATCTAATATGATTATATTGCACTAATACATTTTAATGAAACATCAATTATTTAAGTGAGAGCATTTGATTCAAATGAATTGAAATGATTTTTCAAAAAAAAAAAAAAAAGCAAAAAATACCCCCGATGGGAATCGAACCCATATCATAAGATTCGAAGTCTTGTATGATATCCATTACACTACGAGGGCTTCTTATTTATCTTTTCATTTTTTTATATATATAATTCTTTTTATAAAATGTGAAATAAGTTTTGAATATATTTTAAGATTTATGATTTCATCAAATCAAAACAATAGATTTGATTGAACCATTTCCTTAAAAATTCATTTAATGATTTATTTTCATCTTATAATATTGCAACAAGCGAAAGTGATTACATAATAAGCACTAATGCATTTTTCTAATAAGATGACTGAGATATCTTCCCAAAATAATATTCAGAATTATATTCAAGATTAAAAAACACTATATCAAAAATTGCATGATTTTCTTGATCCTTCCACAAGTAGTATTGAAGAGAGATATCAAAATTTAATTCAAGTTATAAAAGATCAAAAAATTAAAGAAGATAAATATGACTTAATAATATTGCTTAATATAATAGTGAAAATATCCAATAACATCAATCGACATTCAACATTTTTTAATAGGATCACAAAAATATTGTTGGAACTCAAAGAAACAATAAATCAAACTTTTACCAATCATGAACTTTTTAATTTATTCAAAAGCAACAAAGTTCTTCTTCTGTTTCTATTTAAAGAGGAAATGATTAAGATTGACTATTTCATCATCAATATTATTCAGAGTGAAAAATATAAAAAAAAGAACTACCCTTCATATTTTGCACCAGAGATTGCAGGAGATGATAAAAATCAAGTATCTGATGAACTATTTAACAAAGATCCAGAATTATTTGAAGAATACAGAAAAAATGGCGAGAATACAGATGAAATAGCTGTTCTCATAAGAAAAGATCTAATTGATGAATTTATCACTTACGTTAGTCAAAAAGAATATCCTCTTAATTCAAAAATTGAAGATTCACTTTTTGAGACGAATTCATATTTGCTTAAAAAAGGTGCCACATTAATTCAATATGCTGCATTTTATGGATCAATTCAAATATTCAAATATTTACAAAAAAATGGCGCCAAATTGTCACCATCAATATGGTTTTATGCAATTCATGGAGATAGTGCTGAAATAATTAGCATTCTTAACGAAAATCAAATAAAACCAATAGATGAAACTTATTGCCAATGTTTTTATGAATCAGTTAAATGTCATCATAATGAAATGGCTGTGTATATCATGAAGAATTTCATTACAAACAAATCAGAATTAAATAATAATGAATTGTTTTTTAAATATTACAATTTGAAATACATTGAATGCAATGAGATTGAAACAAAAAGTTTGTTCTTCATTGCAATTAAATATGAATATGCATATCTTGTCAAAATTATATTGGAAACAACAGATATTGATGCAAATTCTACAACAGAGACATTTTCTGATTGCAAGCCAGCTTTTGACTTAAAAAGTTTGATGAGGCCTGATTACAAAATAAAAGAGATAAAAACGCCACTTGTAATTGCTGCTGAAAAAGGTTCTATTGAAGTTGCAAAACTTTTATTGGCAAACGAAAACATTGATGTTAATAAAGCTGAACAATGCTATTCTCAAGAAACACAAATGCATAACAGAGATGGCAAATATCCATTATTTTATAGCTGCAATAGTCCATTAACTATAGCTATTGAAAAAGGCTATATTGAAATTGCAAAGCTATTATTATCTCATCCTCAAATTGATGTCAATTTTAATCATAAGATAGAAGATAACGATAATGATAATATTGATGTCAAATCAGCACTGATTCTTGCTATTGAAAATGAAGAATTAGATATTGTCAAGCTCTTGTTGGCAAATCCAAAAATAGATGTTAATGCTAGATCAATTAAAAAGAAAGCATATGAAAAAGATTATGATGAAAAGACACCTTTATATTTTGCAATTCAAAAAGGAAACATTGAAATTATTAAAGAAATATTGAAATCAAATGATTTCGATGTAAATTCATCACAGCTTATCAAAGTGAGTTATCCATACGAAGAGGGTAATGATCCAACAACTAAAACATTAATATCTGCATTGAATTTAGCAACTGAACAAAGTAATTTAGACATAGTTAATCTTTTATTATCTCATCCGAAAATTTCATTAAATGAACAATCAACAAAATGTCTCAAATACATGTCAAAAATGAGTTCTTTCGTTGAATATAAAATGGGAGGTGGTTGGTCATATATAATGCCTTTAATAAATAAAGTAATGAACAATCCAGGTAATGATTTTAAATTACTCGAGACAGTAAATTATCCAGCATTATGTTTTGCCATTAGTCACAAAGAATTTGATATTGCTAAAGCTATTTTATCATCTGAACAATGTGATGTTAATGCTGATATGACAAGAAGTTCGCATGCAATTGAAGAAAAAGAATGGTCTGCTTTAGCAGAAACAAAAATTCCAGCATTATGCTTCGCAATTGATAGTAATAATAGTTAAACTTTTATTATCATCATCAAAAATAAATGTAAATGCAGATTATGTCAGTGAGCATTATTATTATAACAGTGGTGCTGAAGAAGAGGAAGAAGAAAAAGAAGATAAAAATGAAAAAGAAATTGGTTGGATACTTGAAAGAAAAATTAATCCACCATTATCTTTGGCTGTTAAAAAATCTAATAAGGAAATTATTAAACTTTTATTGCAAAACAAAGAAATTGACTTAAATAAAATTGATGATCAAAATAAAAAAGCAATTGATTATGCTGATGATGAGGAAATTAAAAAAATATTTCAAGAATTCAAGTAATTCTTACGATTATATAAAGATTTTAAATGAATCCTAAAATTATTTATTAGTATCTCGTTATTGGTTTATTTTTTATTAATCCTTCTTATAATATTAAAAAAAAAAAAAAAAAATAGTTTCGTTTGTTAATTCCTTTGGACCACAAAATTAGTTATGCAACTATCTAAGCAGTTGCTTGAATAAAGGTATATGACTTTTATTTTAGGATGAAATGTTAAATCAAAGTGCTTCACAATAAACTTTTTGTATGTATATCTGGTCTAAATATACTTTTTTGAGTTTCAAAATAATAATTTTTAAAAATTGTTTATTTATGGAGATATAAAAAAAAATCCTCAAAAAAATTTCGAATTGTAGGGAGAAGAAGGTAAAGACGTTAAAAAGTTTTAAAAAAATTTGATGAATTTACCCAATTTTCAAAACACTTTCTATAATGTATCAGACTATACGCTCACCGAAAAAAAGTTAGGATCAGGATCATTTGGAAGTGTTTATATCATATTAAATAATCAGAGTAAACAAAAATATGCTGTAAAAATTATTAATACAGAAAAAGGCTTTGATGGAAACGATCAAATGCTTTTTATGCGTGAATCATATATTTTACATGAATTACATCATCCCTGCCTTGTCAAATTTATAGGAATCAATTTTCAATCGTTAACGAATTCTGAAAAACTTGAGCCATCGATTATTACCGAATATTTACCAAATGGATCACTAGAATCGATACTATACGATGAAAAAAACAAGATTTCAGATGCAAGATGGACTCCAACCAAAAAATATATTAATTTGATTGGAATAGCATCAGCGATGAAGTACTTACACGAACATAACATCATCCATCGTGATCTAAAACCGCAAAATGTCCTGATTGATGAGAATTTCAATCCAAAAATCAGTGATTTTTGTTTTTCAAATTCAATTTCAGAAACGACCAAATTATCGATGACAGAAAATATTGGTACCCTCTTATATATGGCCCCGGAATTAATAGAGGGTGATTCGCATTATGGATCAAGCGTCGATGTCTATGCCTTCGGAATTCTCGCATATGAAATTTTAACTGGTAAAAAACCGTTTTCTGAACTTGGTCAAATTTCACCATTCGAACTTGCAAACCAAATTTTGAAAGGAATCAGGCCAGAACTTCCTGAAAATCTAAACAAAAAGATGAAGAATCTCATCTGCAGATGCTGGAGTGAAAATTCTTCAGAACGACCAACTTTTTCTGAAATTTATTCAATTTTGACAACCGATTTGTCACTTTTGGACGAAGATTTTGAAGAAGATGAAGTGATTAAATACATCGGCTTTTTGAATGAAGAACTTTCAAATGAAGTGGTCAATATAAAACAGGATTGTGAAAATGATGAAAATTTGTTCAGAGGACTTGATCTTTTATTGGGTACAGAAAAAGAAAGCAACCCTATTTTATCTGCCACTTTTTTGAAGTTATCGTCAGAAAGAGGTAACAGTATTTCGTCATATATTCTTGGTCTTCTTCATGAAAGTGGCAAAGGGACCGAAATTGATTTTAATGAGTCTAAAAAGTATTACAAAAAGTCAGGAGAACAAGGAAATTCATTTGGAATTGCAAGACTTGGTGTTTGCTATTATAATGGGTTTTCAGTTAGAAAGGACGACTCAAAAGCCTTTAAATATTATCAACAGGCAGCCAATCTAGGGAACCTGAGAGGAATAAATAATCTTGCTCTTTCATATGATGAAGGAATTTCTGTTGAAAAAGATGGATCAAAAGCATTTGATTATTTCAAGAAGGCAGCCGATGATGGTTCTATATTTTCAATATACAATATTGGTTACTGTTATGAATATGGAATTGGAGTTAGCAAAGATGAAAGTAAAGCATTTGAATATTATAAAAAAGCAGCAGACTTAGGATTTCCAGTTGCTATTTGTAATTTAGGAATGTTTTATGAACTTGGCATTTGTGTAAAGAATGACTACAATAAAGCAATTGAATTGTATGAAAAAGCTGCAAGTCTTGGCTATTTTGAAGCATATAATAGTATTGGAAAATTGTATCAAGATGGAGTTGGTGTTAAACAAAACATTACAAAAGCAATAGAATATTATGAAAAAGGAGCTGAGTTTGGAAATTGCAATAGTTACTATAATATAGGCTTTTTGTATGATAAAGGAAAACATGTTGAACAAAATTATTCCAAAGCCTTTGAATATTTTAAAAAAGCAGCTGATCTTGGTCATACTGATTCAATGAATTATATCGGTGTTTATTATAAAAATGGATATGGAACTGAAAAGAACGACTCAAAA